AGTTTGGGGGAGAAAGGGTGGATTACAAACACACAAGGAAATAATTAGTCTATAAAAATGTGATGCAAATATTGGCTAACTCTCTGAAGTGAGAGAGGTTCTGTCTCATTAGAAACCAACTAACAAAAAAATCTATTACTTATTTATGTATTTATTTTATATTATTTATATTTATATCTATCCATCTTTGTTTGTTTAAAGAATTTATACTGCACTCTTCAGCCACAAAGGCTCTCAGAACAGGTTACAAATTGTTAATTTGACAATTCCCTACTCTTAGGCTTACAATATGAATAAGAAGGAAAGGGCAATGGGGAAGAGGATTAAATCTAGGAAATTCTTCTCTCCCTCAAAGTCCAGGACGTTGCAGTTGGGATGGAAGGAGGGACCTTTCATCTGCTTCTGGGCCTAGGCTTGATGCAGCCTTGCCACTTTTTTTCTCTGTCCCTTTGAGTCCAGGGTAGTGACAGTTGGGATGAAGAGAAGACCTTTCATTTGCTTCTGGGCCTAGGCACAATGGACTTCTGTGCCCACTTTTGTCCCTCCGGGTTCAGGGCATTAACAGTTGGAATGGAGGGAGGGCCTTTCATCTGCTTCTGGGCTTAGGTATGATGGAGCCTTGCCGCACGGACAGAAAAGGCCTTTTCAAATACTGTTCCTTCCAAACTCCCTTATTCACTTTTGTCCCAGGACAAGGATGAAGCAACAAGTAATTGACTCCAACAGATTTAATTCTCAGATAAAGGGAGCAGATAAAAGTCTATCTATAAAGCCACAAAGGGGTGTTCGGGGATGGTCATACTTTAGGAATGTCTTGGACATATTTTAATATTGTGTATCTCATTTATAGGTACAATTCAGCCCAATTTGTGTGGTGGCCAGCGTTGAAGTCCATGACTGACATGTGAATTCTATAGGATGTATCCTGGGTTTCATCCCTGCTGGAAAAGCTGAGACCATCAAAGAGAACATCTTTGGGACTTGTCCAAGAGAAGAAGGTGCTGCTACTTTGAAAGTTGCACAGCTACCATGGCTAGCAAAAGGAAGTCAACAACTCCATGTATGGTTCGAGCACCTGAAGCCATGGAGGAGGGAGTTTCTAAGGACAGTGATGCAGCAAAGCCAGCTGTTACTTCAGAGAAAGACTTGGGAGATGATTCAGCTGCTGGTAAGGAGAACTCTGAAAATGACTGTGAGGTGATTGAAGGGAAGTCTTCCCCAGCCAATCCATCAAGGAAACCCCTTGGTGGTTATGAATGTAAGTACTGCCCCTACTCCACTCAGAACCTGACTGACTTCACAGAGCACATAGATACACAACACCCCAATGTAATTCTCAACCCCCTCTATGTATGTGCCGAATGTAACTTTACAACCAAAAAATATG